ACTATAGCCTTACCATCGTGAAATAACATTAAATATTTCACTTCACCTCACCTACTGAAAACCGCTGGTCTAGACAACAACAACTCTAATCTGTTATAAAGGAATCATTGCAATTAAAATCTCACACCTGTATTACTTCTTAATGTGCTCCGGTAGTGCTCTACGTCACTGGAACGTTAGCTATGAGGAAAATAACCTAAGCTAAGCAAGGCGAAAATAACCGATATCATGAAGGCACACCTAACACATTAGGTTTTAACCAAACAATAAACATAACGATTGGGAAACACCGGAAAAGCGCTGATACTCTACTCACCGCCACATGCGTTCGTGGGCTGGATGTGGATGTTTCGTGAAGGACAGCTCCGTCCGCCGGGGCAGGTACGTTTTGCATGGCACGATAAAGTTATTGCCTCTTTTGCATTTGAAAACAAAGAGCTTGCTGAAATTTGGCCAATGACTTCCTGGGTTCTCTGAGTCCTCTGCTTCATGGAGCTCTCTGCGTGGCAATCCTCAACCTCCATTTTCCTGTTCGGCACCAGCCACCATCCAACGGCAGGTTACACCCCGTCTCTTAACCAACATTGACACACATTAACACAGTGGGAGATAAGCGCATTGCTTAAAACTTGGGCGTTTCACAAGTTGAAATAAGTGGCAAAATTTTTAAATTTCATGTACTTACTTTTCAAAAAGCCTGAATGTGGTTGTTCAGTCAGTTAGTCAGTCTTCGGTTCCAGTTTCGTTGCACCAGGTTCAAATGGTAGGATTACGACAGTGTTTGTTTTGATACATAAACATTACAAAATCAATGCCACCTATTCTCACTCATTTATTTCTGTACAAAATCTTCAAATGAATTCAAAATCATCACTTTACAAGTCCAAGCCACATATACAACACTATTGATGTTCAATTAAAACAAGCCAACTATAGCATATGAGTCATATACATACGTTGGGAATGTGAGGTAAAATTCTCACGGTGATGCTGTGTGTGTCACATATTGTACACATACAAAGACATAAGTCATAACAATACAACCTAAATGGGTCCCACGGAAATTTGGATCATCTGTGTCCGAACAATAAATAAGTAGAAAATATATCTCTTCACAATGTGCAGATTTTTAAAAGCACATCAAACATAGAAAATGCTCAATTTCTGACTCCGAAAAAAGACCAGCTATTTCGGCAAAAGGGAAGGGCTTTTTTTTTTGTCTCACCAAATTGAGTCTGGAATAATTGCACATTTTGATGAAGTTCTGATTTAGAATTAACTTCATTGCTTTTGTTTTCATTTTCAATGCTGATTTGTTAGGGGCCTGTTGCTGGTTTACTCCAAAAATAACGACAAATGCATCACCAACACTGATATGGAGGAAAGGAAATCCACCAAACTTCACTGTCACACTGAGGAATGAAACAACAAGTCAACACCTACAGGTCAGGATGCAAAACCAGGAATGTTTAACCCTTTTTTTCTTTTTGCTTCATATTCATTTCTTTTCTCTTTTTTTCAATTTAATATTACCAATAAAACCAGGAAAGTAAAAGGACTCAACTTCCACCATGTATGTACCACATGTCACAGACTTCTGCAGGCCAAGGATGCATGTACAAAATACACATGTACAATTCAGAGACTCATGTCTAATCTCTTAAATCTTCAGCACAACTCCGATTGTCTAAATAGTCAGTTTCTTGGAGCAGTTAGAGATTTCTCCAGCAGAGGGTGCTCTAACTGCAGCATTACTGCATCAACTGTTGCATCAATGTCTTTTGTTGACAGCAGACTGCCCATGATATACTGTAGATTTTCTTTTTTAAGGATTTCTAAAAAAAAAACCCGCTGCTTCTTCAGAATAGTGATGGTTAATGTCTCTGTGCCTGTGCAGAATATTTTTTTTGAAAAACCTAAATAAAGGTAAATTGAAATGATGTTAATTTCCTGTAACAAAGTGAGCTGAACCACAGCCACAAACATACTCCGACAGAGACATTGCTACTGTGCAGTATTAATGCCTCTGTGACTGCGCAAGTGGAGAAACCGGTCAAGTCTTTTTAAAGCACTGTTTAAACTGATAGATCATCAAAAATGTGGTAAATAGTGAGAAGAGGAATCTGTGTGAGAGTGTGAAGCTACGACTGTAATGTCACTTGTTTTTATAGAAAAGTAACTTAATTAGAAAAAAAACGACACCTAGCTTTCTTAGGATAAATTTTAAACAATGCAACCACGTGCGCCATCACCATGTCACTACATGTTGTGGTTGTGATTGGCTCTAAAGAGACATCCATTAGTCTCCACTCTTTTTCCATACATGGTATTTCAGCCTCTTCACAGCCAATTCAACACACAATATAAGATGTAAATATTAACGACCGCGCTGCACATCTTTATGTAAACTACGTTAAAAGTGCTTTTAATATCTATTATCGTACATTTCGGGGTTTTATGAATTATTGAATGCACAGAGGGCAAAACGTGACAGAGTGTAAATCAGTCTTCATAGATTTGTTTATCACCGAAGTTAAAGTGCTTTTGAGGAATTAAAGTTAAAACTGTATTATTATTATTTATATACATTCAACTAAAAAGAACCCATAACTTTTACCGACGGTACTGAAATATGCAAGTCTACTGCCATCAGCCATTTGGCAATACTCTTACAACACTGTTTAATTTCCTACTAAGGGACCTCATGCAGGCTGGGCTTTTTTACATGTTTTAAACGTGTCTGATACTTGTTTAGACCACGTAGCCATCGGGAAATCTAATAATTTTTTTAACTTAAGTTAACATGGTAACATTGAGATTAACGCACTGGGCTTCATTTACTGGTGTGAGAAATGTTCATACATTTTGTGCATGCTTTAAATCCCAGCTGATCATTGAAATGGTTCTCAAAATACAGTTTGCATACCACTGGTGGTACGTGGGCTCCCTCTAGTGGTATGAGGATTAATGTTTAAACTGCATTGACAAAACAGTGTGGATACTTAAAAACAGAGTTGCTAAACTACTGGCCACTAACTTTAAATTCAATGCAAGTACCAGTTGTAGTACTACTTCATTTTACAATATGTCTTTGGTTGATATATAGTCTTATAAAAAAAAAAAAAGAATAAATTCTCCTTTGCCTATTTACTGTGCTCAGATGATCAGTACTGCTGTATTTCACTGTCCGACTGATGGTGTTTGAACAGTAGCAGAAAATTAACTTGCCAAAAAAAGTAGTTTTAGTTTAAAAAAGTCAAATAAAAATGAAGGATTTTAAAATGGCAGGAACAAATGGATAGGTCCATATGAACACACCCCATTTCTTAAATGCACAGATTTCACCACAAAGTTTATGCATTAGCACTTTTTGTAAAGTAGAATGTAGTACAGCAAATACTGCATTGAATGTATTTCCTTCTTACCAGACCATTTTAAATAAGAATAATCTATCGGTGAGTGTGATGTTAGTGCGAATGTGAAAACAAGAAGCTTTTCCTATTGGCTGGTTCACCCAGAATGCTTTCACGACACAGCTAGCATTGTTAGCTGAGCAAATCGTACGACGTCTCAGATTTCGAGCGAACACAGTGTAAAAGTCACAACAACGTCAGTGAGGTTGTCCAATCAGAAGCCAACGTCTGTCATGTCTCTGACAGATGTGAAAAGACGAGCAATCTTCTGCAAAGGTTTGCTGGTTGTTTTGAGCCACAGCTGCAGGGGGCAGCGTCACCTAAGATCACTGTGGTGACGATGGGTGTCTCAGACAGATTTAGTTCGTGGGCAGTGCTGGCTCTGAAAAAAAAAGTTTTGTTTTTCCCTTTTTAAACACAAGGTCACGGATAAGTTTTCTTTTCTGAGCTCCAAACCTAAAGAAAAGTCCCTACATTATCCCAGGCCCACGGTTTGGAGCAGCTGATTCTTCTGTACTGGCAGTGTGTGCATGAGTGTGTGCGGGTGTGTGTGTGTGTGTGTGCATGAACAGTAAGTTTGTGCCAATGTCTCGGGGGTGTGGGGGTGTGTCAGTTCGTAGGAGTTACATAGTCTCTTGGCTTCCGTCCACCTGTCCATGTGTCACTCATAGTTTCATCTTGTGCACCACAGGAACAGGCAGGACCTGGTGGATTTTGGCTCGGTCAGCGTCCACCTCCAGATGTACCCAGTCAGGGTGGAAGGGACCTTTGAATCCCACAAATGCCAATTTATCTGCAGGGAGACCAGATAACATGAGGTAAAGGATTCACCAGAGCTGGCCATTGGTCAAAAATTCACTTCTAAATTTAAGTTTGGTGATGGGAAAGTGATGTATAACCATCACCAAATTTTACCCTGGTCCTCGTGACCCACTGTAACCTAAGAAGTCAAATTTCTATGTTAGAAAACCGCTGCCGACCAGTAATCTACTGTAGATGTTACACAGTATTTCTACACCACAATCCTAGACCTCATTTTTAGCCAACAACCACACCTCCACCCATGCAAGATATTTATAGATGAACAAATATATTGTTAATTCTTTTTAAGTCAACTCACAAAACTAAATTTAAATTAAAGTAAAAAATTGTTTACAGTTAGGGTCATTTATTTTATATCTATCAATATTTCACACCTTGACAAAGGTCTGTGGAATTCAGAAGAACAGCACACGGGCTGAACACAAATTCCGATGTTTTTCGTTCCTGTGTTTGTAACAGCCACTCTTTGTACTGCACTTTTCTAATCTTGTACCTTTCTTAAAAGACATTTTTCCCCGACACACCTCAGGAACTGTTTACTCGGGCTTTGATGAGCTCATTTATCTCTGTGGACCACGGTGCAGGTGTTTGGTGCTACCTTTCAATTTGATGCTTTTGTCTGCTCCCAGCTTCTCCAGGACTTTGGTCCAAGATCCTCTGGGGAAAAGACGGCCCTTTGATGTCATCAGAACAATGGAGCTGGAGAAGAACAAGAAAGAGCGAGACAACACGGCCCACAGTCAATATTTATTTAGCTGAGTGTTTGGGCTCCACTGTGTGTGATCCATGTTGTATAGAAGTCTCTTATTCTCCATTGGATGTGTGGTTGTGCTGTGGTTGTGCTGTGGTTGTGCTGTGGTTGTGCAGTAGCTTCTAACCTATCTGGCAGTCCACTGACGTAGTTGTCTAACTGCGTAGGGATGCCTTGAAGAATGGAGTTTCTGAAACCTTTAGTTTCCAGCAGTTTCCCGTCGTGTCCGTCGATGACGGTCAGCTGAATGCCGTCCTCTGCCTGGTATTGTTTTTTACTGTTCACCTGAGACAACACAGTCACAGAGTCACACTCTGGTTCAGATACAATTGATCTGTCAACGGTTTGGACAGTTTGATTATTTTTTACTGGACAAGTTAACGTTGACAAGTGGAGATAAAACTGCTCAGCATAGAACAACTTGTCTTCCTGATTGTCTCCTATTGGACGAGAGGTTTGAACATTTCATCTCATGCAATTACTTTGTTGACACTGTTCATTAAGTCAGCGGTCCTCAACCTTTTTTGTACCAAGGACGGGTCAGCTGGTATCAGCCCTTAGTGCAGACCGGTAAAATGAATGAATGAATCTTTTAGACTTTATTCTGTTTGTATCAGAGTCTGAATGACCTTTGACCTGTTGTTTTGAAACATTGGCAGATTATCTTTGAAGGAAAAAAGTAAAGGGATATGACTGGATTCTATTGGAATAAAGGAAATTAGTAAAACTGAAGTGTAGTTTTTCACTGTAGCCCAGTACTAGATGACCTACGGACCAGCACCAGTGCCCGTACCGGGGATGGGGAACCCCTGGATTAAGTGACAGTTATCCTACATTAATGATAAATCATTACAATATGACAGGAAAGAATACCTCAGTGAAGGCGAAGTCTTCCTTGATGTGGAAGAAGCGAGCGTTGTAAGACTCCAGCTTCACCTCTAAGAAGTGTTCCATGGAGTTCTGGAAGGAAAAAAATAGACAAATACTATTTTTTCAACTGAACTGAAACTGAATTTTTAAATCTTAAAACACAAAGGTTTTTGATCATATACTGCTTAAAAAAGACACAAAGAAACAAGCCGAGGTAAATAGTGTTAATTTTGGCGAGGTTTTTTCTTTTGTCCCTCAGTACAGCAGAGCTTTTAAAGAGATCTCCATTGGATGTGTGGTTGTGCTGTGGTTGTGCTGTGGTTGTGCAGTAGCGTCTAACCTTTCTGGCAGTCCACTGACGTAGTTGTCTAACTGCGTAGGGATGCCTTGAAGAATGGAGTTTCTGAAACCTTTAGTTTCCAGCAGTTTCCCGTCGTGTCCGTCGATGACGGTCAGCTGAATGCCGTCCTCTGCCTGGTATTGTTTTTTACTGTTCACCTGAGACAACACAGTCACAGAGTCACACTCTGGTTCAGATACAATTGATCTGTCAACGGTTTGGACAGTTTGATTATTTTTTACTGGACAAGTTAACGTTGACAAGTGGAGATAAAACTGCTCAGCATAGAACAACTTGTCTTCCTGATTGTCTCCTATTGGACGAGAGGTTTGAACATTTCATCTCATGCAATTACTTTGTTGACACTGTTCATTAAGTCAGCGGTCCTCAACCTTTTTTGTACCAAGGACGGGTCAGCTGGTATCAGCCCTTAGTGCAGACCGGTAAAATGAATGAATGAATCTTTTAGACTTTATTCTGTTTGTATCAGAGTCTGAATGACCTTTGACCTGTTGTTTTGAAACATTGGCAGATTATCTTTGAAGGAAAAAAGTAAAGGGATATGACTGGATTCTATTGGAATAAAGGAAATTAGTAAAACTGAAGTGTAGTTTTTCACTGTAGCCCAGTACTAGATGACCTACGGACCAGCACCAGTGCCCGTACCGGGGATGGGGAACCCCTGGATTAAGTGACAGTTATCCTACATTAATGATAAATCATTACAATATGACAGGAAAGAATACCTCAGTGAAGGCGAAGTCTTCCTTGATGTGGAAGAAGTGAGCGTTGTAAGACTCCAGCTTCACCTCTAAGAAGTGTTCCATGGAGTTCTGGAAGGAAAAAAATAGACAAATACTATTTTTTCAACTGAACTGAAACTGAATTTTTAAATCTTAAAACACAAAGGTTTTTGATCATATACTGCTTAAAAAAGACACAAAGAAACAAGCCGAGGTAAATAGTGTTAATTTTGGCGAGGTTTTTTCTTTTGTCCCTCAGTACAGCAGAGCTTTTAAAGAGATCTCCCTGTGTCGATGTGTCAGTTTCTCACAAACACACACACACACACACACAAAATGCTGAAGGAATAATTATTTTGGGCACCTGAAGGAAATGGGCAGTTAGAATATTCATCACTCACACTGAATCCAGAAACAACAAGTATCTCACCATCCTGGCGTTGGGTATCTTTCTGGGCATGGGTACGTCCACCACAGGCAGCTCAGCGTGTCGAGGATAGGCCTGGTCCATGCAGTTGCTGGGCGGACTGCCTTTGGGGACGACAGCTGTGATCTTCACCCTCTCACAGCCCTTGGCGGAGCAGAAAGCAAACTGCTCCCTGTCGTTGTGGGCTGTTACCTTCAGGAACAGCAGGCTGTAATCCACACAGGTACAATTTACCTGTCACACATACCACTTTACAACCACCAGGATGAAATGACAATGTAGGACACAGAGATTGTTTTTCTGCAAAACAAGACATTTTTTTAGCATTGTAATAATGTAATGGTAATGGGGAAATTTACATTGAGCCTTTGCAACTGAACACAGGCTGCCACAGGAGGCGCCATTGAGTACATAGTTGCAACTCACACTAGGGACTTTTACCTCTAATGATAATGATGATTCGAAATTTACTGTGTACCATTAGTACCATTGGTACGGTACTGACTGTGTGGGTGTATATACATATATATATGTATATATAATTTGTGTATATATATATATATACAAATATATATATCTAAAAAATATATATACATATATATGTATATATAATTTGTGTATATATATATATATATATATATACAAATATATATGTATATATAATTTGTGTATATATATATATATATACACAAATTATATATACATATATATTTGTATATATATATATATACACGCACACACACACACATCCTGCCTCTAAACCCAGGTATTAGTGTAGTAATAATGCAGTAAGACTGTGTCTGACCCTGTGTCCTCCTCCCAGTAGTAGTATCCTCTGGTTTGATGGACATGGTTGACCTTCTCCCTCTGCGTCGTCCTCATGAAGACCCCGGTCTTCCGGGTCTGTTTGGTGAGACGGTTGTGGATGTCGGAGATGATTGTGAATGTCGTGTTTTTAGGGTAGCAGATACCAACTCTGATCCAGTCATTTCTGAAACATAAATAATAATAATAAAAAAACTAGATTGTTTTGTGAAGAGTTTTTTCTGTATGTTATTTAACTACTTCCTTTTTAAACAAGTGATGTTGAAAGCATCACTAAAGTGTTCTTTCAGTTTTGGAAAAAAAAAATAATCAGATGCAGTTGAATTTAAAAACAGATTAACTCATGTAATTAATAATGTGAAAATATCAGATTGAAATGTTTGAGGCATTTTGACGCATAGCTGTAATTAACACTGTTGAGGACAACGAAGGAACTGAAACATTTTCCATATTAATAATAAAAAAAAACACCTTTTTTTATTCATTTACATAGCACTTAGATTAGATTCGTTTTTGTCGTGACTAATGATTATTTTTCACTTTTCACACATAAACTCTTCCAAATAAACAATGTTGATTTAATTTGACAGTTTGTTTACAACGATGTGATCTATTAGCAGACGTTGAAATCAGCTGGAGACAGCTTCATGTTCATATATCACTCAGAACAAGGCGAGAACCAATGACTCATTAAGAATAATCATTTAGCATATTTTTTGATGAATTATGTACAGCAACATTTATCGTTAACTGTCATTTGCGCGGTAAGAAAACCAAAAAATGTTTCACTTGTCTGTCAACAATGACTGAAAGAAGAGATTAAAAAAAACAACTTTATTCTAGAAGAAGAACGTGAATGTGTACGACAAGAGGAGAAAAAACTAGGTGCAAAAAAACAGACTTTTAATCCAAAAATAAATCGCTGAAGAAAATAAAATGTCAACAGTTAATAGTTGACCTTCTTCTGGTACAAACTTGACTTTTTTGCATTTGAAAGAGCAGAGAGAAAGACTTTTACCATCATCTAAAGGGAGGAGTACAGAGTGAGACGCCACTTATTCCTGAGGAGAATCCTTGTAAACAAACAGCGTGTGCAGAGTGAGCTCTTCTACTGCCTTCCTCTGATGAACAGCCCTTCATAGCTAACCTGAAATGACTTCAAATGCGCTGAGAGTGGAAGATAATATTATTCCTGTCAGATGCCTTGCAGAGGCATCGTCTTCAACATCTGATATTGCCTCCTGTTAATATTTCTCTGGAAGGAGAATTGAGTCGTCAGTCTATCTCAACAATAGTGATTCCTAGAGGCCGAAACACAGATTCACATGAATTAACTCCTGTTGTCGGCAGCAGCAGAGACACAGACGAGATGATGGACTCCTAATGTCAAACACACCGCACTGATCTAGAACCACCAGCAGGTCTTGTCCTGCTACGAAGACCAGATACGAACCGGGGTCTTAAGGAGACCCAGTGTGTCCACACCGCCCCGAACATTAAAGGATTATAGCTGTATGACAGACCATGATGTCAAACACAAACTAAAATAATAATAGTTAGTTAAGTTAGTTAGTTCCAGTGATTGCAAATATTTGTTTTGCTCCATGCATTTTTGAATCTCTTAAATTATTATATATAAATAAATAAAAATACAAAAATAAAATAAATATAAAATACAAAAAGACTACCAAAAAAGAGTAGAAGACTTGCTAGGTGGTAAAGAAAGATCAGATAAAATGTCAAGGCCACAGGCATCAATTTAAATGTAGAAAAAAAATGACTGGTGAAGGTAAAGAGCTGTACGATGTCATCAGAAAAAGAAGGTAGAAATTTGTTGGTATTTTCTGTTGAGTGTTTGTGTGAAGAGTGAGCAGGACAAGTTGATGTCAAGTTGAACAACAGTTACAAAAGAAATAGACTTTCTCACAGAAAAAGGTTGAGGAAGTGGCATGAGGTTCAACTGGAGAGAAGGAAGTGTTGATTGGAGCGGACTTTAATTGACATGTTGGCAAGGAGGCGATGAGGAGGTGACCAGGGAGGAATGGTTTGAAGAGGAGGAATGTAGGATGACCGTCGGACGTAATTTTGCCCCACAGATGGATGTGGCCATGGTCTACACTTACGTTAAAAAGGGGGAGGAACGGGTAAGTCAAAAAGGCGAGGAACAGACTGATGTGTCACGTCCTCTGCCGTCAATGTCACAGAAGATGGGAGGAAGTGTGAAGTGGAGTTTTAAAACAGAGAACAGTTGTAGGATGTTTGTAGGATGAAAGGGAAAAAGAGAGCTCTGCAGCGGCCACAAAGGTGAGACACTGAACTGCAGTATATAGTAGTATATAGTATAAGTGAAAGGATTAAACATTATGTGTTGTGTAGAACAGAACAGAAAAGATGTATTTAATCCTCTGGATCCCAAAGTAGGGGGCGAGGGCCACTAAAGGGGTGTGTCAATTCAAATGCTGGGGTTCGTACTTGCAAACACTCTTGACCGCAAGACTAATCCTGATGATAATATTAACCCGTGTTAACATGTGATAAAAAGCCCTACTTTAGTAGTAGTTCACTGATTTTCCTCTACTTTTCAGCTGTGTATCCATATCACTGACTCTATTCCATGGAACCATGAAGCCCAGGGATTTTTTTTTTTTTCAGAGTATAAGTAAATATTCATTGCAGTTAAACGGAAGAAGACAGGAAGCAGGTTTCCCATCAGCCCTTTGGTTCTGCTCTAATTTGAATGATAACAGGACATAGTGCACGTGAGCGCCTGCTTCTCACCTGGAAGTGAAGTCAATTTCTCTTATCAGTCCCAGCCCTGCATAGATTGAGCACATTTCCAGAACCGATTGGTGATAGCCCTTTCCTTAAGGAGCAAAAAATGAACGCGGCAGTGTGACATTCAATAATGTTCTCTCTTTGCTCTGTGGAACGTTGAGCCGGTTTTAAGATTCCATACGGTGTTGAACTTATTATCAGTCGTCACACGAGGCAGGAAACAGTATGTGGTACTGCAGAAGTACAGTACTGTCATATATCAGTGGGATTAATGCAAAGAAAAAACTTACAAGCTGGAGTAAGTCAAAACGTTCTAACACAAAAGAAAATTAGCAATAAAAAAACTATGTATCCTCCTTTCAGACCCATCTGTTTATAGAGAATTCCTTCTTCATAGAATTCTGGAGGACATCTTTGAAAGCAGGTCTATGCACTGGTCTGGCCTTAGGACTGTAATAATAAAATTAAAATATAAAACTCTGATCTTTGGTGATTTTAACATTTAGGTTTAGATATAACAGAGACCCGTCTGAACACGGTTTAATGATTAAAATCCTACACCTTTAGAAACGATAACATCTGTCTCGCCTGCAACCTTGGGAACCAAGTGTGTGAGGACGTGTGTCCACTGTCCTCCGCTGTGGCTACACGATGTATATCTATGTGATTTTTAAAAATTTGATTGCATTAGATTTTTGTTGTTTGTTCTTCACCAGGACTTCAGGGTAAACATCAGACACAATGTGTGTGTTGTGTACTGATAACGAACAGTGTGAGTGTGTGTGTCTACTGACTTGTTGAAGTTGATCAACCAGATGGTGACCTCAGCAGGGGTCGCCTGGTCCCAATGTATGGTGTAGCCCTTGGAGAGTGTGATCACTGGCTGGAACTGCTGGTAGTGTTTCCTCTTGCCCAGAGCGCCCTCCAGCATCAGGGGGCGATCGGGGTATTCGTCCCTCACGATGTCCATGTTGACGTTGGCAGGGTTACGTATCTGGATGTAGATCTGTAAAAAAAAAACACAATCCAGAATTTAAGTGCTAATAGCGAGCTAAGTCTTTTAAACCTACCAAAGTTAGAAGCAAGCCACCCATAGGGGTCGCAGAGGGATTGCAAGAGGGAATACAACAAGGGAAAGAACAGCTTGTCCTTGTCCTCAGTCTTTTATATATATATATATATATAAAGAATTATAATTAAACATTGATCTATTTATTCTATCAGTGACTTAAATGTGCCATTTAATAAGTTATACATAATTAAAACACATTATTTAAAATGAACATGTGTTGGACAAAGACTAAGTCCCAAAAATGTCGAGAATTAAAATGAATTTTCAATTAATGTGACCAGTAATTGGATGTTAATTGCTCATTTCTTTGCCCCTGGTGATAGGAAAGTGACTGTGTCTCAGTTTTTTAAATTTGTACTCAGCCTTTAATATTCAGTTTGTATCTTTACAGTATTTATAGCTTCCTCTGATTCTTATATAATATCATTAAATCTTAAACATTTTACAAAACACAAAGTTAGAAACTGAATTTTTCATCTGTAAAAGTCTGACCCAGTTGTTTTAAACATTTTTCACACCAAGGAACTTAAAACTGATGAAGAGATGGATTTTTTTTTTGTATTCAGTACTCACTATAATCTATAAACATAATCTATATATGTATAAAACACTCAGCCTCAAGTGTGATGTTTATATAAATATACATTTTTTAAAAATCTAATCAACCTTATATTTTATGACCACCCTGTGGACCTCTACATGCCACAGCCCCCTTGTTGAAGACCTATGAAGTCCTAAATCATTTATGGTTAGAGATGTGAAAATGGTTTAATATTCAAATAGAATATTAATCATCACAAAGAAATTTATGTTTTCAGTAATTTGTTAATGAATTAAAATAATGACGTCTCTGGTTGTGGAGGTTGTGAGTGGGTGTAGCTGTTGCTTCTCCACCTGAGCGTAGTGACCACTGCAGATTGCAGCCTTCCAGTCGGGGACATCGATGCAGTCGGGGTGACGGACCAGCCAGTTGTCCTCCTTAACCAGGAAGGCTCCGGGATACTCGCTGACCGAGCCATCAACATCATGGAAGATGGTGGTCTTGTCTCCATCCATGTCCATCTTATTGAACCAGGGACCAGGTTCACCAAAAAACACCCGTGACGTGATCTACAACGGAGACAAAGAGTGAAACAAAAGGACATTAACTTGGTTACATTTTCAGTTCTTCCTCACTTCCTGCAAATTTGGTCTTTCCTCCGACATGACAATTTTAAAACCTCAACCTCAGGTTCTCATATCTGACTTTCATATTTCTCTCTCATTGAATCTGTAAAAACCAACGTTTTTACCAAGTTCTTATATGAATTTGAAGCGGACTCACAGGGACATGGTCAAAGGTGATGTCAGAGACGTTGTTGTTGGGGCAACTCTGCCATGAGTTGTTGAGCCTGAAACCAAAGGCGCTGCTGTGACGTCCTTCCAGAGCTGTGAATTTCCTAAATGTGCAGTTCTGCACAATAATAGGCCCGTCGTAGATCTGCATGCCCCGCGTGGGGAAATCTCTGAGGTGGGAAAGAAACAACAACGTCAGCATTTCCATCTGTCATCTTCCAATTTTATAATTATTATTATTATTCATTGAATGAATCAACCATGGTTTGATGCTCATGGAGTTGTAGATGCTAACCTGTGCTAACAGCACAGCAGCCTGACCTTTTTTATGGGCTTCACTGGGCGTATTGGAGATGACTGTAAGTTAGAACGACGTTAAAATAATAGAGTCCGGACTAAAGATTTTCTTTCCAAAGACTGCACACATGTGAAACCCCCACAACTGGTGAAGTTTAATTTTACAGCCAGAGTTTCCAGACAGAATCAATGGTATTGATTTTTAACTGGCTCAAAATGTACTTTCAATTATATTTACAGAAAAATATAAATAAATATTTAAGGGGAAAAACAGTTTTTTTCTTCCTGAAAATGTTTTTAAGTCAACGTGGTTGTTGTCAGAAGGTTCAAGTGTTTTTTTAAAAATCAGATTTGTGTCAAAAACAGCAAAGAGTTGACATGTTTGCTCTGTTACAGTACATGGGTCGATATCTGTTATATATATAGTGCATGTAGTGCATGAGCTACGGTAGGAGCGTGCAGAAAGTTTAGATTTAAAAGTTTAGATTTAAAATTTAATTGATTTAACATGATTTAAATTTCGTAAGTTTTTTATTTATCACACAGCAGAGAAATTGTGATGATTTTAATTGGATTTCTTTTGAGGTGTTTCTGTAGGTGGAGTGTTTTCAATGAAGTTCAGTAGAGATTTAATGCAACAGCTGTACTGATTGTCCTGTCTTCATAAACAGGGGGCGCTGTATAAAATATCTTGTATTGATTCAAGTTAAAAAGATTCTGTGTCACACACTGACATACATTACATTCACTCAAGGTGAAGTTCTGCTCAGTTGTAGAAATGTGAAAAAGAACAACCTCAGCTGAGATTTTCCTCTGAGGAGAAAGTGGTGAGTGTGAGTCACTCTGTCAAGGTCACTGATGAAAAGCCTTATTTCACGCTCGTGGCCTTCATCAAATGTTCAACACAGCACAACATGAGAGCACTTAAGGACTGGTGTTCCCATATTCATCGGTTCCCTCACAGAATGTCAGGCTACAGATGAAGCATCCAGACAGAACCCCATTTACACAGCTCTCTTTTTCCCACACAATAAAGAGATCTCTAATTATACCACTGCTGAGACATTCCCTCTGTTCTCTGCCAACTGGGCCAGGGCACAGACAAGCTTTCCTGCATACCAGATCTGCTGTACACCAGGAGACTGCTGCTCCACCGACGGTCTATCTTTGGACTGTGAAACACTTGGGCTGAAACTGAGTCTGTGAAATATTTGCCTCTTTAAAAGAGCAGCAGCTGTGGTTGGTTTGGAAGGATGCCAACACAAAGAGAATACAGTGGCGGTGGAGCAACGTGAGCGGAGCAGAGCATGAAGTCGTGCTGAGCAGGACCTCAAGGATTTTGGCCACGGCACGAAGCAGCGTACAGAGTTAACATCCACGCTCCGTCTCAAACTCGTTCTAAATTTTTCTGCCAGTGCGTCTAAAATATGACTGTCGAAGAGGTGGTTGAGGGTCTGCAGGCAAACCCCCCTCCCTCCCCCAGTCTAACGGGAACTGTAATCAACCAATATTTGTTATTGTTAAATTTCAGAATCAAGTCTCTGCCAAAAATTGTTAAATGATACAACTGACGTTGGGTTTCAAAGTGAACTCTTTGTTCAAGGCAAAGTGGGTGAGTGGGTGGGGGGTCCACACAGCTTATTTACCCTCCAGTTAGTGAGTGGGTGGGGGGTCCACACAGCTTAGTGCGACGGCCTGAAACCTTATTTACCCTCCAGTTAAACACATTAATATATCCGTATCTTTCAAACGTCACTAGCCTCGTACTTCAGCGGGTGTGCCCAACCTTGGCATTGTTGTTGTTGAGGGATACATCCCACAGGTGGAGCTCTGGGCCAGTTTTGTGATTGTTTTACTTTAGCAGTTACTTACAGCCCACGTGGCAGAGTCCTGTCAGCATGGTCAGGGCCGCCGGGGCCCCAGATCTGGTTGTCCATCAGGGCCATTCCACGATTGTCACTTTCACCCACAAACAGTGAATTCTTCACCTGCTGACGAGAGCCGTCATCGTCGGGAAACGTCCCTCCACTGCACACACAGCGTGAAAGAGTTAGAGTCTATGAGTGAGCAACTCTTTACAGTGTGTGATGTCTGTGCCATGAAGCAAAACAATTCAGACATTGTCATCACAACTTCTAATACTCAAACCTTGAGGGAGGTGAGAGAGGAGGTGAGTTCACAGGCAAAAAACAACAACAAAATAAGGGCTTCCAGAGAAAGCACACAGCAGTGGATTAATTTCCTTCTTTCTTGGCCGCAGATGTTTTGGTTTATTGATTAGATCATTTCACATCAAGGGAAAGAAAAGTGCAACTTACCTCGCCAGAGTGAGGCCAATGCCATTATCAGCGAATCTGCACGACAAAATGCAGAATATTACTGCAGCACTACTGACACACACACACACACACACACACACACACACAGTGTCTGGAAGTTAAAAAGCTTTGCTTGGATACTTTTCATTTCACTCCCTAATTACTATCATCAAATGTGTAGATAAAAACAACCTGCTGTACCTGACACTACTTTTAATTTATCTGAAAAACCTCACAGGGACAAAAATAAACTTGTTTTCTATGGAGATAAACAATCTGTTGTAGTAATACTGCGTCATCCACAGATGAATCAAGACGTTCTCTGTGGACTTGTGCTGTATGTGTGTGTGTGTGCGCGGTGTGTGTGTGTGTGTGCGCGGTGTGTTATCTTTAGTATCTAATCAAAACTGAAAGCACTAAATTTATCCTCAGGTTGTTTTACTCATACACAGATGTAGTATTTACCTCATTGAACCATGCAGGCCAGTACTATTTAGTTCAGTGGTTATTTGTTCTAGACACAGATGGTTATTAACTTGACCTCGAATATATTTGGAAAAACCTTGGAACAGATTTTACCCACAATTCCCAGATCAACAACATGACAATTCGGTGGAACTGAGGGCATCAGTCCAATGTTGGTCAAAACTTCGTAAACAAACAACTGTTATGCTAACAAACTGACCCGATTCATCACTAAGAGAACTTACTGGCAGTCGTCCAGCCACACGTCTCCTCCTCTCAGCCAAGCTCCATGGTCCTGGTTCTTGTAGGCCACAAAGTGGTGGATGAGAGCAGGGACCCTGGGTTTGAAGGGGTCGGCATCTTGGTGCGGTCCATACCTGCACAATAAATTAGAGAATATACCACAAATCAGTTTTTGTCCAGACAAAGAAACAGGTTGTGACTTGGTGTCAGAGGTCATCCTCCAGAATTCTACAGAGAAAGGATTCTCTAATGGAAACTGCACAGAAGAAGAGGAAGAAGAAGAAGAAGAGGAAGAAGAAGAAGAAGAAGAAGAAGAAGAGAGCAGACTGAAACATACTTAGAAGTTTTTGACTTACCTCTGCATATTCCCTCAGATTGCTACTGTAACATGAGGCTAATTTACATATAAATGCTTCCATTAGCAGCAGTGAAGGAGCATGAACCTAATTCTGTCAATATCTGCTGTGTCATCAGAATCTGACACAGTATTTATACTCTACACAGCAGGATGGAGAGCTGAAGAAGAAGAGCAAAAACACACTGTGTACTGGAGAATCCTACCCCGGCCCAGTCCTTACACATTTGATTTATGTCACTGCTGTTTTATAATAGGAAGGTGTAACGACACGTTGGCTCCTCCTCACACTGTCACACTGTGCTGCTCCAGCCTGGTCATAGTACTGAGTTTTATTTAAAGTCACACTCATTACTTTTCTCTATGTGTTGACTACAGTAGGAAACAGTCAGAGGAAGATCGTTGACTAGTGCAGGCTACACTGAGTGTGATGTGGTGTCAGCTGACCTGGCTCCAATCAGGGACAGGTAGGGACGCTTGTCCTTGTCATTAGCCTTGGTTGTCTTCACTCCGTTGTCAAGGATCATTCCAGCCTGGAGATGAGGAGATTATGATAAAATGAAGTTAATATTTTATATTTTTAAATCTAACCAACTAGAGCCACAATTTACATCTCAACATGTTTCTCTGTGGTCCAAAAGTTTTATGAATTAGACTTAGGACTTTTCACTACAGAGACCCCTGTAATTTCATCAGCAGGATGAAAACATTCACTATACTGTACTTTTAAAAATAAACTGCACAGATACTGGACCATACATCATAAAGGCCTGGGCACAGTGTGCCAGCGTCCTGCACCAAAACTGGACACCCAGGCAAATTACCAACTTGCAGCCCAGACATGACCTTCTCTCCTACAAACATCCTGAGGTGGGGAGTCTGACATGAGTTATTCTCCCATTAGGATGATCCAAATTCAAAGCGGAGCAGGGAAGAAAAGAATGCGGCAGGAGAGAAAAGGGATCACAGTCGGGGGGCAGAGACGGGAGCGAGATAACAACAACACTTCCTCTTCATCAGCACCTCATAAATCTCCACCCGTGTGGAGCTCGTTGCCTCAGGCACTTCTAAACTCTCTCCTCTGCTCTTCATCTCATCCAACACCTCTGACTTGTTCTGTCTTCCTCTTCAACATCCTCGTTTTAGTTTGATTTTTTTTTTGTCTCCGTATTCAGCTGCACTTTCTGCTTCAGTTCTTTAGCAGGTCAACGTGTTGTACTGCTCATTTACTGTTGGTTATATGGGTTTTATAAATGGGCTTTTTTTTATCACTTTAAAAAGCAGGTTCATTTAAATAAATAATAATAATAATTATTGTTTTTTTCTGTTACAGAAAAAAAAAATCTGATAAATAAAACCCATCAGATCAACCTGGTGTTAAACACCTGAAATGACTGGACAATCTGATTAGTTAAAGGGAAGCAGTGGATCAATTGCTGGTTCTTACAGTATGATTAATTGTGATCACAATTTGTAACAATTAACAATAACGATTATTCGTAATTAGTCAACATAAATCAACATTCCTTAATATGACTGAAACATTTTTTCAGTAAGGAGAAATAATGATCAATCAAAACCCACAGTGAAGCTCCAACTCTTAGTTAAACCCCAATCAAAACCCACAGTGAAGCTCCAACCCAGACTGAGTTAAACCTTATAAAACCTTGGGGTCAACTTGGACTCGATGCAAGTAAATAGGAAGTAAATTATTTTTTTTATCTATACTAGACCATACATTACTAATATCCTAACATACTTTGGGTAGTTATAAACATGATCTTATTTTCACCCACCCTGTAGTTTGAATGTGCTCTGTTGTTGAGGAACTTTCCCATAGGTATGTGTTCAGTGTGTCCAGGAGAGTAGAGTCCTTCAGAAGGACCTGTGGGCACGTGGTGGAAAATGAACCAGAAGCCTGTTTCCTGTGAAACACAAGGACACGTCAGAGTGAAGTTTAATAACAATACTACAAGTGCAAAGTTCAAACTTTTGAAAAATTAGCTTCTTCAAGAGAAAATACTTTCGTTCAGGCTGTCACGTTTGCTCTTCATCTCAAAACAATATTGTTAACAGAATAGACAAGTGAAGTGGGGGGTCGGGGGGTGGAGGAGTGGGGTGAGACCTCATGAATGTAATACTGTGCAAACGTTTTAGACCTGTGTGGGTTTTCTTTCCCAGATGCAAAATATATTCAATTCATATTGTTTATTTTTACACAATTCAATATGAAATATTATGTAAAAAAATATGAATTTATGTATTGTGTGTTTTGTTTTTGATTACATTTATACATACATTGTTGTCATTGTGTTTGATTATTTACACTGCTCTGTAAAGATTTTAGGTGGGGGTAGGATGGGTTTACAGACTTTCTTTTACCATCCTTTTTACTATTGAGGTATTTAGAACCAGAATGTCATTTCCTTCAATATTAATAATTTTCCTTCCACTTTGGGGAATATCATGAATGGATAAAAAAAAAAATGTCAACAGTCTATCTGCCCTGTGGACCAAGAAGAGGCTGCTGGGGCCCACTTGTGGTCCAAGAGCCAGATGTTCGATTTTCTTTAACAAAAAAAATCAGTTTCACTTGGTTCTATTTTGCCTTAAATAATTGTACAAGTAAAAGGCTGCAGGCAAAGCAGTGATATACTGTAGTACATGTATACAGCGTCAGAAAACCTTTGGCTTGTAGAATATATTAATGTGGAGATAAAAGAACATTCCACACTTCCATATATAAATATAAAACGGCGCTGCCTTCACACTCTGCATCCCAGCCCTCTATTTTCTATTTTCGTGTTGTTCTTTCCACATACACAAATGCAAATGGGAAAAGTTATTACAGTGTGAGGACAAATGAGACTCTACTGCGGCATCTCTGTGAGTGTGATCGTAATTGGCACTCCATCACAGCGGCGCTGCAGCAGCTTCCTGTGTGTTGTCCGCCTGATTCTAAAGTTAATAGGAGCACACAGTTATTTACCTGGACCGAGGATGTAGTAATGAGTCAGACATCCACCTACGGAGGAGGGGGGAGGGCAGGGAAAAGGGGGAGGGAGAGGAGGAAGGCAAGAAAAAGCTGGAGCAGGACACTCACCTCAGAGCCGGCGGCAGAGCAGTTGATGAGGTTGTTATTGGGGTTGGCGATCCAGAAAGTTGAAGTTGCGCTGTAAAGGAGGGAAAGTGTGGGAAAGAGAAAGAAACAAAAGCTCTGTTATTGGACTGCACACATATTACAGTGAGCAGTGATGTAGTGTTTAATACTGGAGCAGTGAAGACTGGCTCTCTATACACAGCAGTAACTGAGAGGCAGCCGCATGGAAAAGAAAAAGAAAATCAAATTGTTTTCCTGACCAGTTTTATCTCTGTGCTCTCAGCATCAGCTCTGTGAGTGAAGTCAGAAACGGCCTTTTAAGTTCCACTGCTGTGAAGTGTTGTTTCATGAGCTCCTTTAACAGGGTGTCGGTTGTACTCTGCTCATACAGGCTGAATGTAGAGGCTTCAGAAATGATGAAGAGAATACCGTGTATGTGTATATATATATATTATGGGGTTCTCCAGTTCTTCAATGAATTTGTGGGATGAGTGTTTTACAAGAATCACAAATGTTGTTTTATGTAGGAAATATTTTGTAGTTGTGGGTAAAAAATGCAGCTCCTAAATGTAATCTCCTGATTTTTTGTTATTGTTCCTATCAGCTGTATTTCAGTTGTAACTGACAGTCTGTCAGTGACAGACTCCTGCCTGGTTCATCATCACGTCAACGATGTGTCTGTGCTTCAGGCAACCACGGTGAACAGACAGAGCTGAGTCACTTTCACTGCAGGTTTGAACAGGATATTATCTATGGTTGGGTTTTTATTATTGTTTTTTCTCTCTGTGCTTGTGTGTAGTTCTAAATAAGACCCAAACACACAGACACACACACACACACACACACAGACACACACCTGACCTCATTCCCAGACATCTTTCCTAGACATCTCTTATAGTTTTCCTCTCCATCCTTTTCATACTTTGTGAGACCCGCTGCTGGGAGTTTGGAATAAACCTGCCAAGATTTTGCAATCTCAGCTTCACAAAGTGTAAAGAACAAGAGTAATACCAATACAGTAGTAATGCTGATACTATACTAATACTGAGGTAAATTAATTTTAAATTACTAAAGTAAAAGTACAAAAATACATTTGTAAATGTAACCAAGCCTGTGTGCCTTTATAATAAATTGGGTAGATTAAAAAAGAAAAATCACAATTATCATATTTGTAAAATAATTTAACCCAGTGTGATGTACATTAATCAGTAAAACTAAATATTTTGCTTGGTCTATTTTACCGAGTATTCACTGAGACAGTAATGCGTACATTTCATGTTCTTGTTTACATTTTACATTTTATGTTAACATTTCTACATCAGAGCACTTTAATTACTAAAAAACTTTAAATACTTTTTAGTAATTATTTGTTAAATCACTTTAGGAATGACAGGTAAAAAAAAATCATTGAAGTTTGAAGCAAAGGTTAAGGTGAATGTCATTAAGAGAGGAGCGCAGGCGGGGCCACAAGGGGGCTCCATTAAAGTCTTATATGCCATATGTAGTGAAACCTGCAGAAATAAGTTTTTGGAACCTCTCTTCTGATCTAAATCATAAACCAGCTGCAGTGTGTGCTCTACAGGTTTTCGATTTTTTTCGAACATCCACGTTAAACTTTTAAGTCGGAGCCCAGCCCTCTGACTGCACAGGTTTGGTGTACTGATGCACCCAGTGGGAGGAGAGGTGCAGAATCCAGCTCCAGCAGCAGCAGCAGCAGCAGCGTTCTGCCAACTCAATACTCAAATCTCTACACTGTGTGGTCAGCTGCCCACCTACTCAGAGCAGGTTAAGTTCTCAGGGCAATATCCTTTTTCTTTCTTTCTCTCTACAACACAGCGTTCCAGAATAACAAATGTGAAGGAAGTCAGAGAAAACTGTTTTCTTCCCTTTCTTTGTCCCTAAAAACCAGAGCTGAACCAGCATCATGGACTTCAGCTCCCGTTACAGCCACAGTACGACCTGGACAGTTCAGCAGTCAGTATGTTATGGTGGACTGAAAGCGCCGACATTAAATTAATAAATACATCATTAAACAACTACTTCAATGTCTCATTAATACATTAAAATTGGCAGCTCTTTCTTCCACAGTCTGTGCTGGGTCTAAAATGTCTCTCACCATTGGCCGTTCATGACAGTCCTCTACCGGGCGTGCTACTTCAGACCAATGCATCAGACTAGATTAGCAGTAGCCCCGCCCACTGATTATGATTAGCAAATTTGACAGATAACATCAATTCATAATGCACTGCAACACAGGACTATGAAATAATTAAATTAATGACACATTTCGGTATTTAATTCCAACTTTAATTAATCACCGACAAATGTAAGTCATTATCAAATGATGTACTCATTTATCTAACGTTGGCACTTTCAGTCCTCCATATGTATGCGATGCACATATACTGTTTATACACATTTATATATATATATATTGTGTATATATATGACTACTAACACTTACAACTACTACCACCTCTACTTCTAACATCTATTACAACTAATAATAATAACAATGATAACAATATTTGTCATTGTTCCTTGTTCAGTCTTTATCAGTTCTCCCTTTTCCCAAAAACTGTATTTCTTTTTCACACAATGTAAAGCCACAGTGACCTTCTCACTTCCACTCGTGTCTCTGTGTGCTGCTGATGCTGCTTGGCTGCTGGTGCTGCTGCAGCTGCTGTCTGTGTCTGTGTGTCTGTGTGTGTGTGTGTGTGTGTGTGTGAGACCTTGCTGCAGCATGAAAATCTGTTCCTTCTTTGTTTCTGCTGCACACATTCTGCCTCTTTCTTACACCTTCTGATTTCCTCGATGCTCCTCAACATTATACCAGTGAGAGCCATTACTGCCTACATCGGCGCCGATGACAAGTCATTTACAGTTAACCATTAGTACAGAAAAGTTTACCCACAGGAGGGGTAAACAGAACACAGATGTGCCACCTGGGAAATACCTAAACTCCCTCGTACTTTGCTCGACTAAACGCACCAGCTGTGCCTGCCAAATAAAGGAAAATTAAAAAGAATAAAAAAAGAGAGAAGGGTTTCTTGGATTGAACAAATGGAAACATGCAGCAGTTTGGTGGAAGCAGTTTCTCATGCTGAACAACAATCTGGTGCTACAGGCCTAACGGTGGTAAAATGGCTGTGGGAATTGATGTGTTACACACGTTCATTTATTTGTGCAAATAGTCCAATTAGTCAAAACACATTTTACCACATAGGCAGACTGATGCTTGCTGTAGCCTAGGTATGGGCAAACTACTTTATATTATCATTATATTTCTGCATTTTCCCTGCAATGCCCGCATTTTCCCATTAAATGGCGTAGAAAAGGCTAAAAGCATTTTAGCATTCAGCCTTTATGCATGACATTTACAGTCAGTCAGTCAGTCTAGGACTGACAGTCTGATTGACACAACAGTTCAACAGTTGGACTGTAGACTGATTAATATTGTTAAGGACATCGACTGGACTGAAGCTTCAAAAGAACCATGTTCCACACGTACTACAAGACACGGTCAAGACGACCGTGACTGGAAAATATCTGCAGCACAAAACACAAAAAAGTAATGAGATGTGGTTGAAGGTTCAGGTGGTTCTGGTTTTAGGTTTTCTTGGTCGCAAACACAGGCTCTCGTTAATAACGAGTCTTTTTTTTTCCTTTTAGCTCACTTAACCAAAGGCACGCCGCGCCATTAGTCACTGCCAAGGACAAAAGAGAAACACTTCTAATGTCACAAATTTAACACCTTCTCAGAGACATTATTGATTCTACAACAAGCAGAGTGCAGCACTTACAGACATACAGATTTAATAACACAGCTACATAGATCCTCTCCGACCTATTCACCTTCTTATGTTTTCCTCTTCATTTTGTAGATTTTATTTCATTTTTGCACTTATGTAGGAAAATAATTCTGTTTGCTCTGTAGTTTTTCTATGGTGTCATTTTTCAGTTTATCTTGAGCTTCATTTCTTTATATAAAAAATATAAAGAAATGAAGCTCATGATAAACTGAAAAAAATGCAGTCACATCTAGTACTGGAC